CTTGGGACTTAGTAAGTAGGGTTACAAGTACCCTAATTGGGGTTATAAGTATAGTTACCTTGTTCATAACCTCAGCCACTAGGTCCCATGATCCTTTAAGTAGTAAGTAGTTTTTCTGTCTGGTGCTGAGTAGGGAATGGAGGAATGGGTCATAGGGACTACTATAAGGAACCTTAAGGGACTATCATAGGGATCCATTCCCCCAGTTACTAAGCACCAGACAGTTTTTTGGTAGACTTGTGGAAGTATCATAAACCCAATGGGTGGTTCAGTCAGGGTCTAGGGTCTGAGGGTTTGGCCTTGAGGGGTCTCTGGGTTTAGGGCTTTCGGTTGGGGTTTAGGGTCTGAGGGTCTAGGCTGAAAGGTTAAGGGTTCCTAGGGATTGGGTTTCGGGTCCAGGGTTTAGGGTCCCTAAACCCCAACCCTGAAACCCCTGAACCCCTAAACCCATAAACCCTGAACCCCCAAACCCCAAACCCCTAAAACCCTAAACTCCTAAACCCCAGATTCTTGGGTAGAAGGTCGGAAGGATTTACGATGTAGGGTTTGGTCTGGGCACGGGATTTTCGAAGCCGCCAGCCTCGCGGGGTCTTGAGCCAGAGTCCCATGATGTAGTTCATGCTTAGGGTTTAGGGGTTTAGGGCTTAGGGCCTTTTTGTTCAGGGTTTAGGGTTTGGTGGTTTAGGGCTTAGGGCCTTTTTGTTCAGGTTTTAGGGTTTAGGGGTTTAGGGCTTACGGCCATTTTGTTTCTTGGATTCTGCTACTGCCTGACAGGTCTCTGCAGGAGATCGAAATCTGAGTAGTTTTTTGCCTTCGGAGGGAGTTGGTTTTTGTTGCTCTACGCTTGCATCCTGTCTAAGGACTATAGGAGGGACCCCTAATAGGGACCCTTAATCCCATTGCCTTAAATGACCTTGTGTAGCCTTAGATAGCCAGGTAGTCTCCATATTAACCCCAATAACCTACAAGGGTCCCCATTAAGGGTCCCTCCCAAAGCCCTTGCATCCTGTCTCTGAGACGACCGGAGCCTTGAACAAGCTAGGCTTCTGGGCTCTTTTGATAACTTTCCTTTATTGAGCTCTACCTTAAACCCTAAACCCTAAACAGGGCCAACCTAGAGGACTTCCCATATACTACATAAGTACATGGAGCCTGCAGGGACGGGCCGGCCCAACCCCCTTTGGTTCGATCTGCGGATGAAGACTTCACTAAATGAGGGTCTCTTTTTGGGGGGTCCTTTTAGAAGGCTGCCGTACCATTTTGGGGGCGTAAAAACGGACCTTAACTTTAGAGAAGCACCCATATACTCAGGACTTAGGCCTCAAAGTGCCCATACAGGAGTTTGTTTGGAGGCTTTGAGCCCCAAGTATACTTAAAGAAACATGGGACTCAGTAAGGTGAGGAGATAAACAAGGTAACTATACTTATAACCCCAATTAGGGGTATGTATAACCCTACTTGCTAAGTCCCAAGATGCTCTGAGTAGGCCCTAAGCCCGAAACCCTAAACGCTGAACCCTAAACGTATATAGTGCATGGGCACCTGGAGGCTCCGGGATCGTAGTAAGTATTCCAAGAAGGACAGAGAGGCGATAGTTACCTAAACCTGAAGTTTAGGGTTTAGGGTTTAGGGGTATTGGGCCCCTAATACGAAGCTCCTGCAAAGACAAGGGATGGCAGCCTCCCCGGGTCTCCGTATGGCTCTCCGCTGACAGGCAAGTGGGTGTAATCTAGGGGCCTGAAAAAAACTACCCACATTTGTCCTGCGGGTTCCTTGTTTTATAAGTATACTGCAAGAGGCCCCAAAAAACTTATTCTATTTATGTCTTCCCATCTGGCGGGCCAATATGGTGGGCCTAATAAATTAATTACCAATACTATTGTCGGTTCCTCTTTGTACTTATAGTAGAATAAACCCAAAAACCCTCTTCTAAATATTAAGGCCCCTATATTAGTTGCCTCAGGGTCCAGCGTTCCTGGAGACTCTTCAGGAGTATAGCTCAGATTACAGATCCCTTTTACGGTATATGGCTCAACTCAAGGGTGTTATCGGATGCTTCGGGCTTTTGGGTGTTCTCCAGGATTTTGGGCAGGGTTTCCGGATGTCGTGGAAACTTTGGAGTATATTATAGGGTTTAGGGTCGTAAACCCTAAACCCCAAACCCAAAACCCTTATTAGTATTATGGGATAGCTGTGGTATACACCAAGAAAACCTTCCCCTTCGAGTTGCCAAGGCCTCTAGGTTGAACTCGGAAAGCATTCGAAGACGGAGAGCTCCTGGAACCTCTAAAACTTCCTAAGCCCAAAGCCCTCGGCCCCTAAACCCCGTAAGCCCTAAGAAAGGAGCCTCAAGAATTAGAATAGAGTTTTGGGGAGATGATACTATAGCTATAGTAAGGAACCCCCAAAACCCTATTCTAATTACTAAGGCCCCTACATTAACCCCGAAATCCTAAACCCCTAAACTTGAACCCTAAGCCCTCAACCCTAAAACTCTACTTGTCGGGGGGGACTTAGTAACTAGTTATTTTTTCTAGACCTATAAATATCATAGCCGCAATTAGGGTCCCTTTTAGGGCACTTATAAGTCCACTTATTACCTACTTACTAAGTTCCCCGACCCTCCAAATAACCCTAAACCCTAAACCCTAACCCCTAAACCCTAAACCCTAAACCCTAACCCTTAAACCCTAAACCCCAAACCCCAAACCCAAACCCTTAAACCCTAAATCCTAACCCCTAAACCCTGAAGGTGGAGCAGCCATGAACGCGAGCATGCCGCAGCTTCGGCAAGCAAGTCGCCATTGGGGTAGTTCTCTAAATTGGGGTCCCTTTTCTTAATTAGCCAATAGGAGAACTTTAAACTTTTCAGCTTTATTATATATTAGGTCTATCTTAAAAAGTTTGAACTTTTTGGGGCCTGGTTGTTGAAGAAGAGAGTTTTTGGGTCCCCCAAATAGTACGGCAAAAGGACCCAAAAGGGACCCTCATTTAGAAAACTGCCCACTGGAGCTTTGTGGAGTGCCGGGAGTTTCGAAAGAATAGGGACTTCAAGGTTTAAAGGTGTAGGGTTTTAGGCTTTGGGCTTTAGGTGAACAGTGACTTCAAGGTGTAGGGTTTCAGGGTCTGGGCTTTAGGTGAATAGTGACTTCAAGGTTTAGGCTTTGGGCTTCAGGTGAATGGTGACTTCAAGGTTTGTGGTTTGGGTTTGATTGTTGGGATTTGGGGTCTACGCTTTAGGGTTTGGGCTTCGGGTTTTAGATGTTAGGGCTCCCTGAATAGTACTTATAGGATCCTTAAGGGAGGGTGGCTCAAGGGGGGAGGGTCCTAG